TAATCCCTAAAGCCTAAACCCTAAACCCTAATCCCTGAACCCGAAAGCCCTCAGGCCAAAACCGTTCCCCAGAGTCTCTTGCAAGGGTTCAAGCGCTTTATCAACGCAGCATGCCAAAACTTGCTATAGCAAATCCACCAGACCCGTCGTAATTCCATAAACCCCACCGAAAGCCGTATGCCAAAACTTGCTGTAAGAAGTTCACCGGACCCATTGAAATCCCATAAACCCTAAGCCCTAAACCTTCTTGAAAGCCTTAAACCCTAAACCCTAAAACCCAAAAACCCTAAAACCCTAAACCCCTATTGAAAGCCTGATACCGAAACTTGCCAAAGTCACATCCACGAGGCTCTCGGTCAGAAATCTGCGAAAACGCCTCGAAGAGTCTGGATCCTCAGTCCAAAAAGACGGGGTTTTTGAGTTTTGGATTTAGCTGAGGGGTTTCGGGTCAGAAGCATTTAGGGTTTAGGGTCTAGGATTTAGGGGTTTAAGGTTTAGGGGTTTAAAGGTTTAGGGGTTTAGGGTTTAGGGTCTAGGGTTTAGGGGTTTAAGGTGTGGGATTTAGGGTGTATAGGGTTTGGGGTTTAGCGTTTGCCGCTAATTTGCCAAGGGGCCGCCTGAAGTCACGCATCGAAAAGCTTGATCCAGTGCTTCTTCCGTTTCGTTTGGATGCTGACCCTAAACCCTAAACCCTATACCCAAAACCCTAAACCCTACCCTAAACCATAAACCCTAAACTCGAAATCCTAATCCCTGGCAGGGCAGAACAAAGCAGGGAGGGCACAGGGCAGGAGCGGGGTAGCCGGAGTTTAGGAGTTTAGGGTGAAGGAGTTTAGGGAGTTTAGGGTTTAGGAGATTAGGGTTTAGGAGTTTAGGGGAGTTTAGGAGTTTAGGGTTGAGGGTTTAGGGCTTGGGTTTAGNNAGGGTTTAGGGTTTAGGAATCAGGGATATACGGACTTTATTCAGAACAAGCTCCGGCACCGGCCCATGTGGCTGCTACCGCAGTCCGTGTCGGCATGCGCCATCGAGGTGGGGAGGCTTCGTCGCTCCTACTGTTAACGCCCTAACCCGAAACCGTGAAACAGCGAAACCCGCGACCTTAATAGTAGAATCTTAGTTTAGAGCCCTTGAAGGAACCTTCGACCCTAAACTTATCTAAACCCCATACCCGGAAACCACAAAGCCCTAAACCCTAGTGAAGCCCTTGATGCAACCTTAAAACCTACACGAACACCTAAACACCTAAACCCTAAA